CTCCTCGTCCTCGCCCGAGCCGGTCTCCTTTTCGCCCTTGTGGACTTTCTTGTGCCGGCGCAGGTTCGAGACGACCGAGAAGTGACGGCCGCAGCCTTCGACATCGCAGGCAAAGGCTAGGTTTAAGTTAGCGGGATTCTTTACACATGAACAGTGTGAACAGTGTAGGGGAAAAAAAACGTACGCTTTTCTCCCGTGTGGCTGTACATATGGGTCTGCAATGAAGAGGGACGGGTGAAGCGCTTGTCGCAGACCTTGCACTTGTGCTTCTTCTGAGTGTTGGAGGGCATCTTGGAGCTGAACTGGCTCATCATCGACTGCGGGCCGGGGGGGACACTGGCCGAGAGCAGATTCGACGGGCGGGGAAGCGTACGTGATGTGTCGTAGGACTCCGAGGTTGAGCTGTAGTCCGTGACCGACGACTCGACGGAGCCGACGGAGGCGCTGTAGTAAGGGTAGTTGTTGCCCGCCGACGAGATGGACGAGGCCGACGAGTGTGTCGAGGGGAAGCCGTACTCGGCGCCCGTGGCCGAGCCGCGCGAGGCTCTAGGTCCGTAGATGTTGCGCGGGGTGAGGTCCTGGCTCAGGGCAACCATGCCCCGACTGGCATCCAGAGCATCGCCGAATGTAGGTGCTGGGGGTTGACTCAACCGTTCACTGACCGCATATTAGCAAAAAAAAAACCAATCGCTGCTGGGTTTTTCTCTGGGGGGGGTTTCTTACGCATGTGACAACCGACGCGCGTCGGCGGCGTGTTGTGGATGTAAAGAGGGCCCGTATGCAAGGGAAGGATAGGTGGCCGGGGGGAAAGTGGTCAAGGGCGAGGCGGTGGTGTAGGTCGAAGCCTGTTCGAAGGAGCTGCGAGGCATCTCGTGCTGCATGGCCATGATGTCGGGGGTGGTTGTGTAGCTGGTGGTGGCCGCCGTCGGGGCGGTCGGGGCGGTAGGGGCAGGAGCATAAGTGGTACCGGCGACGAGCGAAGGGGCACTGACGGGGATGCTGGAGTAAGGCATGGACAGAGCGGCTGGCCGCGGGGCATCCTCCTGCTTGATGGAACTGAGGTTCATGGGGTTGCTGGCGATCGAGGTAGCGTACAGCGAGGGAGTCGGGTGCGAGGTGGTATGAGCAACAGCGGCCCACGGGTCGGTGAACTGAGGCGGCGCTGCTGGATGGTGTGGGAGCGAGTGATGGTAGACACTGTCGAATCCCATTCCGCCGTACTGGCGGTTCTGACTCTCGATGACCATCGTCATGGGTATGTTGTATGGTGATGGTAGTGATGGTAGTGATGGTAGTGATGGTAGTGATGGTGGTGATAGGCTGTACTTGATAGACTTTGATAGACCGTACTTGATAGACTGTACTTGATAGACACTGTACTTAGTGATAGACAGGAACTGTACTTGATAGACGTGAAGATAATAAGACTGAAAGTATTATGATCGATATCTGGGGAAGGGGATCGGCGAAGCTTAAGAACCCAGGGCGGTGTTGGGTGCCACTGACGACGTGCCGTCCGAGACGGTTGCAGATCGTTGACTTTGGGCCGCTGGGGCGGTTCGAAACGGCGCCAGTGGTCAATCCAGCAAGTGCTGGCCGGCTTCTTTGGGTCTAGCGTGGCGGTGTGCCCTGGCACGCCAAAGAACCAGTTCCTCGGTGACGATGTGTATATGTACTAATAGTATATTGTGTTGTTTATAGTATTTTGATATTATTCGATATAATAATTATATTTATATTATATTTATATTATATTTTTATTTATATTCTATTTTATTCTGATATCTCCTACTCCTCCTCCTCCTCCTCCTCCTCCTACACTACTCCTACAACTGTAAAAGGAAAACGCAAAAAGGGGACGAGGGTCTGTCGTGCGGGAATAAGGGGCGGTGGGGAGGCCTTTAAGGGGGGTGTGCCGTGTTTGGCTTGAGCCTTGAGGGTCTTCAGAAAGTTTGATTTAATTTAATTTATTTTTGATTTCTTCTGGTTTTTTTTTTTTTTTTTTGGTTCATTTTCTTTTTCCTTTCTCAGATGTGGGTTTATACTTTATTTATCTACCAAATAGTCTATTCCTTATTAGTAGAAAGCAAAAAGGACAAGATAGTGAATGGTGTGGATATGCAGTGATACTGAAAAAGCAAAGAGCAAAAAAGGACGAAGAAAAAGGAAAAAAAGGGAGAAAAAGAGAAGAAAAAAAGTACCTCAAAAAAAGAAATATACAGAGAGAGAAAAAGCAAAAAAAATAGAAGAAAATAAAATAAAAAATACCATAAGAATGGAAAAAATAAAATGGAAAAAATAAAATGAAAAAAAAAAAGTCACAGGACGCGGGACCACAGCCAAAACGGCATGGTTGCCCAGACCGCAGCATCCCTCTCTTTTTCAGGCGTTTCAAGGCAGCGGGGGAGTGGCGATCGAGACAGGCGCTCCGATCTCTGAGATACGTCAAAGGACGTCGAGATCCCAAGCCGCCAAGAGCGGGGCTAGGGAGCTAGTAGTAGTGCTTTTATTTCTCATTGATTTGATTTTTTCTAGCAGGTGTCGCTTGACGCTAGCACGCCCTATCTGCAGAACAGGATTGAGTACTAAGAGTAGGTAGTAGTATGTATACTAAGTCTGTCATACCTATGGTATCTAAATAAAAATTATATATTTGTATATTCGTATTTGTATATATATATATATCTTTCAATATTATAAATATTACTCTCTGTTATACAGAAACATCAATTTCTTGTATATACATAGAATTACATACATACTAAAGTACTAAGACAATGCTTCAGATCCCGACGGGTATTGACTGACGTATTAGAGCCAGGCAGCCGGTATCGGAGTATCTCCGCTGTGCGCCTTGGATAAGAAAACGATTTCCAATCGATGCAGAAATTTGGCAAGACTAGAGCACGGATGACGGAATCGCACTCCGCGAGGAAGAGTGGGCTAGTGACCAGGCTTACAGAGAGGTCCTCTGTACAAGTTACCTGGGTGGTACTGGCACCTCTCTGATGACTGTGACTGGCTGTGGTCGTGCCACACCCATCCCCATCCCAGACCGCGAAAACTTTCAAGAGTGGAGGATGCGGGGCTAGAGTGCCGGAGTACAGAGGACAGAGGACAATGGATGTATTATCTCAGACCGCTAGATGGTCTACAGACTCTACATACTAGTTGCTACTACTCTATACAGGTAGTTACCACATCAACCATATTAGGTAGGTACTCTATACCTAGCATGTAATATATATGTAATATATATGTAATATGTAATAGTTAGTTACTACTACATAGTTACTACCTAGTATATACAGAGTACTAGTACATACCTAATAAGTGTAGGTACCTAACATAGTAGTAAGTAGAATGCCTACGCCACCACTATTGGCAGCGCCCTTCCCGCAAAATAGCGCACGGCACCCACACATTGAGCATCACAAGATTCGAATGTCATCCAGTTGCAGACCCACACAGCTTACGGAGGACACCACCGCTTACAGGGCACGGAGCATCGAATGGGTCCATCAGCAGCTTACGTCGATACACCACCTACTCTGTAGTTACTATGGAGTACTAGAGTACTGGAGTACTATAGAGTACAGAGTACATATTTAGGTACGGTTCCTAGTAGGATGATTCCGGAAATAGCAGGGTGTGCCATGGGATGCAGAACAACGTGGGGCAGCACGCGAAACCACAGTTAACTATACCATGGAATTAGGGTCTGAATAGCATAAGGGAGGAATGATTAATTTATATTCCTAATATCTACCTTAGTTATAGTACTATAATTACTAGTAACTTATCAAGTGTCTCTACACTACTACTACTACTACTACTACTACTACTACTACTATGTAACTAGTATATTTGTATATTTGGTAATAACATTTGTCTGTGCGCGATCCTAGCTTCTCTCGGCAGCTCGTGCGTGGCTCGAATAGGAAGCCCGATCCATTGGACTGGACCGGACCAGACCAGACTGGGACCGGCATAGTTACCCTAAGAACTCGTCTATTCAACGGAATAATCCTCCAGAACGGAGGAGACTCGATTCAGGATCCGTCCCTAGCCCTAGTTTTTAGTACTACATACTTACTCCGTACCTAGGTCCTTACCTAACTAACTACTAGGTACCTACTAGGTACTACTGACTGGTAGTTACCTAGGTAGTAGGTACTACTCGGGGCTCGGGCTCGACTAGCGAATGTGACGAATCATATCTTCTTGATGCCAAGTAGGCTTTATCTGGGTTAGGCAGTCACCTCTTGCCTAGACAGGCTAGTCGCCAGACATAGGAGTTCCTTATATTGGTCTTTATTCCTAATCTGGATCCTTCGCCTACTGGATAGTAAGAGTAGGTAACTACCTGTACTATAATACTTTAATACTATGGTAAATTTATAAGTTTAATACCAGGATACCTGGCAAAATAAACTTCATGCTGAACTGAGCTGATCCTAAAGTCTGATTATTCTCCATACTGACATCTACTCTGTTAGAATCTATGTGGTTCCCCTATTCCCGCTCGGCACTTGCGCCGATCTCTCTGCCAATCTCTCTGCCAATCTCTCTGCCAGACCGTTCTGCAGTGCTTCTATTTGCTTGGCGCAGATCGACGAGTCTTGACTCTTGGGAACTCTTGTCTTGATTATGGAGTTCCCGATGGAGACTGCCAGATAGGGGCCTCCACGAACTGGACGCTGTTCTTTTACGCTTTTGGGCTTAGTGGGCGGAGGGGGCGGTAGCTTGGAGGGAATCTTATGCTGACATCGACTTCATTAATTCCCAGGTCATTATTAATATTAATATTTAGCATTGACTCCGTAGTACTCTGTACTCGTGGTGTTCTATTGTGTTATCTGACTCGTCAGAACCAAGAATACCACAAGTACAGTGTACTCAATACCTCTCTACTACGGAGTACGCTTCCATCCATGGATAGGATACTAAGAGTAGTTACCTACTACATACCTACTAGTCCCCCGCATCCCTGCTGCGATCCGTCTGCCGAATTGGCACTGCCACGCTTAGCTTCTATCTGAAACGCCTAGAGACAGATAGGACAATGTAGTAGTAGTAGGAGTAGTAGTACTATAATAAGGCAGTAAGAGAAGCACTATTCTATATGTAGATATATAACTTGTATTTATATAATTTCCATACATATAGAGTACAGAGTATATATAAGTATAAATAATTACTACATACATTGTATAGGTCTATTAATAACTGGTATTCACAGTACAATACTAGCCTGGACACGGCTAGTAGCGTCTTGGCATACGTCACCCCCATTCCATCCATTTCCCCTCCTTCCTCTTCCTCTTCCTCTTCCTCTTCCCTCCTTCGTTCCTTCCGTCCCTCCATCGGATGACAGTCTTACATATGCATATTTGGTATTCCTAGTACTAACCATCCCCCCCTGTCCTGTACCCTGAGGTATCCACGATAACTACCTAGTAGGTAATAAGTACTTGGAGACCAGGATTGCATCCTGCCCGGCACCGATTCCGTCATGTGTGATGATTAGATGATCACTACAGATTAGCAGACACTTCCCTGCATTTCATCAATAATGCACTACGACATGGTTGCTACAGTATTTGTATAACCGAGGCCATCCTAAAGGTATTTACTACTACTAAGGTACTCCGTACCTAAGATAGTATTGATTATTTCCTGTACTATCTCAGTAAGGATGTCTGTCCCCCTCGCATAATTAGTAGGCGCAAGAAGCAACCTTATTATATCCCAGGCGACCAACCAGAGCTATGACGCATACGAGTGCCTACCTACGGAGTAGTACGGAGTACCTAAAGACTTCCAATGGTACTCCGTACTTCGTAGGAGCTATCAATAAGATCCCGTTCCGATCGTCATGTACGAAGATGTGAGTACGAAGATGTTAGTACGGAGTGCTAGGTATAAAGTATAAAGTACGAGTATGGAGTATGGAGTACGGAAACATGATAAATCAATGGTAATACACGCTAGAAAAAACCCCTACTAAACAATAATAGAAAGCTCTGGTCGGGAAAGACCGTCATGCTCCAGATCAGGATAGAAAGGAACCATAGCGTCGGCGCTCTGGACGTAGGCATCGTTATACAGGCGCCAGTAGGGCACGCGCACCTTGCGGGCCGGGTGGAAGAGGCCCGCCCAGACGTAGTTCATGACGACGCCCGTGCCGACGGCCATGCGGATGGCGTCGACGGCCTCGATCACTCGGTCGATGACGTGCGGGCTGGTCTCGAAGATGTTGGGGAAGACCAGGTTGAGCAGATGCAGCATCGCGTCCTCGCAGCCGAGCCCGACCACCCCGAGCGCAATGTGTTTGACCACGCTGGCCGCCGTCTGCCGGTGCACCTGGTCGCGGTCGATCAGGGCGTCCTCGAGCAGGGGCGTCACCGCGTACACGTAGTCCTTGGCCATCTCTCCAATGTACTCGAACAGGAACGACATGGCCTTCAGCACGCCGTTCTGCACGTTCAGCTCCGGAACCCGGTACTCGTTCATCAGCGCCGGCAGCACCGTAAAGGGCGCGCACGTCTCCGCCACGATCCCGATCGCCACCGCCGTGCACACCCGCGACTGCCGCTCCTGCACCCGGAGGTTGTTCAGCAGCGTCGCCAGCACGTCCTGCGGGCCGATCGCTTTGGCGATAAACCCGAACGTGTTGTTCGCCGCCCGCCGGATCCCCTTCTTGTGCGCCTTGAGCATGTCCAGCAGTTCGAAGCAGATCCGCATCCATTCCCGCGCGTTCACCGATTCGGGGCCCCGGTCCGCAATCCGGCCCACCAGGTCGATCGTGTTCTCTTGCACCTTCTCGTGCCGGTTGCGCAGGATCGGAGTCAGCCGCGGCAGCAGGTCCCGGATCGGCGGCTGCATCTGGTTGATCCCCACCACCGTCACTATCGATCGCAGCGCTCCCAGGATCGAGCCCAGCACCTCGGGGTATTCTTCGCCCAGGTACTCGTACAGCACGATCCCCAGCTTGCCCATCAGCGCGTCTTCTCCACACTGCTTCATCACCATCGCAATGCGCGAAATCAGGTCCGCCGCCTGCTGCCGCACCGTCGCAGACTTGTTGTTCATCCGCCACAGGATCGTACTGACTATCTGCGGCAGATACGGCTTGCACCGCGTCCCCAGCGCATTCACCACCGTGCCGAAGCCGTTCAGGATCACAATGTCCTCGATGCTCTGTTCCTGGAAGGCATACAACACGCCGTCAATCAGCCGCTCCTCCAGTCGCTCCGACACATCCGCCGCCCCCAGGGCCGCGATCAGCTTCTCCACCGTTTCCACCGTCATCTTCCGGTACGGCTCGCTTTCGTCCTTGAGGTTGTTGACCACTCGCTCCAGGATCTCGCCCACGCCAACCTTCTGGCCCAGGTCGACCGTCGTATCGACCACCTGGCGGTAGTTGCGTCGGTCCAGAGCCATGCGTCGCACCCAGAAGCTCTTGAAGAAATCGGTCAGGACGTGCTCCTTGAGGTAGCCGGCTGTCACGCCGTTCGTGCTCGCGCACTGCGACACCACCTTGAGAACAACTTTCTTCATCTCTTCGTCGGGCGACGAAAACTCTCGTAGCAGAATTTCCATGATCTGGCTCGTGTAGTAATTGGCATACTCCTCGTCCATGAGAGGAATGATGTATCCGACGGCTTTCAGGAAGGCTGCCAGGCCCTTGCCACGCTGCTTGCGGGCACCCGTCCACAGAGGGTTGAGGATCTCGTCAAAGCTTTCGATACCGTACGGATTAGCCGCCTCGGCCAGCGCCGCGACCGCCAGCGCCGTGACGGTTCGGACTTTGGCTTGCTCATCGCTCAGGTTGTCAGCGATGCAGTCCACCAGCCCCTTCAGATGAGGCAGGATGGCACAACCCATCAAAATGGGGATCTGCTGGACGATCTTCACACCGGTGTGGCGCGCTTGCCAGGACTTCTTGCTGCGGCAGACAGCGCGTAGGAATGGGAGAAGCGCAGGAATACCCAGGGCAGAAGCAACGACGGCAAATGCCCGAGCAGTGGTGTTTCGAACGTATTCATCCACGTGGTCGATGTCCGGGCGCATTGTACTGATCATGGTCGCAAGACCGGCAGCCTTGGCCAGGTTGGAAATGATCTCACGACCCTCGACGCGAGCATAGTAGTCTTGGTCAATCAGTAGCGGCTCGATGACAACGAGGATCTTGTGCACGTAGGGACGGACAAGGTCATCCAGCTTGTAGAGTACACGGTCAATCACCTTGACCAACAAATGGCGTTCCTGGTCTTCAAGCGACTTCTCCATCAGCAAGGGCAAGATCTGGTTGAAAAGCGCCCCCGCGCCGAATTGCCGGGCATTGTCGGTGATCTGACGCAAGGCGGTCTTCCTCATGGGCGGCGTGCCATTCTTGACTTTCAGCAACAGCCGCATGATCTTGCGCTCCTTGAGCTCCTCCACGGTCATGGCGGCCTCGTCGCCCCCGTCCATCAGCTTGCCAAAGTAGGCCATATCTTCCGCCTTGAAGAACTGCAGGTCCCCGACACCCGGAATCTCGGTGGGGAGTTGTTTCCCCAGCATGCGGGCACTCTCAGGTTCTTGCATCATGAACCCACCCATGGTCGCAGTCGTCGCCGTGGGCGCAGGGGTCGCCATGAGTTTCCTCGCAGGATTCCTGACCGGAGCGTAGCCCGGGGGAGGTTCAAGGATCTTGTAGCCCTCGGATGGCAGCATCATGTCCAGCTCCTCATCAGACAGGGGAGCGTTGCGAGCAGAGATATCTGTTCCAAACTGCGTCGGGATCATAGCTGCCGCCTGAGACGGGTGCATCGGGGTCGCAAGACCTTGACTGCCCACGGGAGTGGCTCCCCCAAGCGCAGGCGCCTGATCCCATCGTGAGCGACGTTTTGGGAGGCCCTCATCGGGAGCGGCGGGTGCGGGTGTTTGATCCCAGCGCGATCTCTTCTTTGCGTCAGTCGGCTGCGGTGCTTCCTCTTCCGTGGCGGCCTCGGAAGACACATCCCACCTCTGCTTTCTCTTCCTGCTCGTCACCACCGACACGGTCGAACCAGCCTCGACGTTTTCCTTGTCGTTTTCCTCCAGCTGGAGGGTAGCCTTGTGTTCAGCCACCCCATTCTCACCACGAGCCTCCTTCTCCTCGATCAGCTTCTTGACCCGCTCCTCTTCTTTTTCGAGCTCGCGCAGAGCCATGACTTCACGGTAGGTCTGGCCCTCGGTCTCCACGTTCGCATGGGTGTTTGCAGCGAAGGGATCGGCTCTGGTTGGCGTCAGAGCCCCCCGGTCGAAGCGGCGCTTCTGGTAGTCTGTCTCACGGTCCGCGATGCGGGCCGACTTTTCACGTCCGAGCAAAATGTCCTCCTCTTCCACACCATTGCCACGGGCCATCTCATCGATCTGGTCCCTGGTGGCAGTATACTGGCCGACGAGGCGGTGCCCGCCATCGGCGTCTTCCATGTCTTCATCGTCGCCATCGACAGCAATCGACGTACTGTAGCCAGCAAATTTATCCACACCCTCGCGATCGTACAAAGTGGTATCGAACGATTCGGTCAGGGAGGCCTTAGTCGACACGTCAGTGCGCTGGTTAGACGGATCAAAGGTCCGAGAACCTTTCTTCGCGGCAGAAGCAGCATTCCGCTCAGCCTGCAGCCTTCGAACAGTCTCAAAATCGGCTAGAAAAAAAAAGGAGGGGGGGTAGAAGTCAGCAAACCGGGTCTTGCCAGTGAAGAAGGGACAGGAGACTCACCGTCAGACATGGTGACCAGGGGTTCGGAATTCCGACGAGCGATATATAAGAGACAATCCCGCCCAAGGGGTCACTGCAGCTACATCCGGATCGGGGAAACAGCGATGACCGCAACGCGAGAGATGGCCGAACACAACAACAGGATGATGGGATCGCAAAAAGCTCGTCGATGGCGGCGAGTTTGAGAGCCGCGTGCACTAGTCCCAAAGCAGTATAGAGCATGTGATACTCTGTCACATGATGCACAACCCAAAATGGCCTAGTTATGTATGTGCTTAGTAATTGTGCATGGATAGTCAACTGGTCACAAAACAGCTCTTTCCCCCTTCTAAGCAGCTGAGCTTCTGGGAGACTCCCCTGTCTCTGTCTCTGTGCCAAATCCACTATTCACACACAATGACTGCAGGGCTACGAGGACTGCAGGTGCAATCCTCTTACTCGGGGAAAGAGTCAGCTTCGGATCCACCGAGTCCCTGCAGCCAAATTACGGTGAAAACTACTCCGTACTAGCCTTCGCTGCAGCGCTTAGAAGACCGATTTCTATGGCGGACCAGCATGTCACTCACCAGCAAAATGCTACCTGAGAGAAGCTGCCCTGTGAGAATATGGTCTAGCGCAATACTTATTATTAAGAACAATTGAGATAACTAATAATAGATAGGATCACCAACCTAACGATTGTCAGATGCTCTATATTGGCTGGAATCTGTGGGGGGAGCAGCAAGCTGGTCTGCCACGAACACGCGGCTATTAACAAAACAACTAATAATAGAGAGCTCTATGGAGTAGATGAGGATAGTGCTATGCATTGATGGAATAGTGCGAGGACTAGTCAGAAGCCTTTGCCCTACTCTGTCCATGTTCTCATGGATGGTGATGATTTGGCGCCCACGCGATTCTGCATTCGAGTGTAGCGGGTTCGAGAAACCCCATTGATCCTGGATTCCATGCATAAGAGCATGCAGGCTCGGGATTATGTCTTAAGATAGCTCGGATAGGGAAGTGGAAATGCCTCATGGCGTTGAGGCTTATAACCGGCTGCTTATCGCTGTTTTTAAACACGAGAATTCAGTCGTCGGAGATCCAAAGCTCGATCCAACAGTTCCTCAACTGTCAAGTTGTTGCGCGGCTTAGTCCTTGAGGCTGTTTGCAAGGCAGATCTAGAGTAGTGACTGTGATTGTGTTGGTGCTGTTGGTGTTGGAAGTGAGAGTTGTTCTTTGTCTGTGTCTTCTCTCACTTGGCCTTCTTATATATCAGTTAAGAGGCGACCTCGACCTTCTCCCTCTTCTTTTTCTCCTTCTCATCTCCAAGCAATTCTACTCCATCTTTCCAAAAGCATTTCGCTCGACTAGAATTTGCAAGATGCATTCCTCCACGACCTTCACCTGGCTCATGGCGTTCCTGGCCCTGTTTACAGGCATGGCGGCTGCTTTCAACAACGATGACCTGACCAATGTCTTTGTGCGCGCCTCGTCTGTTCTGGACGACCTTCAGGTCGGCAACTGTTCTGCTCTCGAGTTCACCCTTCCCCTCAGCAAGACCAGCCCCCAGCTCCCTGAACCTTCTTCGGGTTTGACGCTCAAGTACGCGACCCTCGGACGAGGCACACAGAACTACACGTGCAAGGCGTCAGACAGCTCTGCAGCCCCTGTTGCTATCGGCGCATCGGCCACCTTGTTTGACGTCTCCTGCCTGATTTCCAAGTCTCCCTCTCTGGTTGATGGGCTTCCGGCCTTGTTCAGCGGAGTGTCGCTGGATGCGATGATTCTCTACGCGACGATCCTGGGTCGCATGGCGAGCCCAACTTCCGGCAATCTGGTCATCGGAGAACACTACTTTACGGCTTCTGGGTCTCCTTTCTTCGATTTGCGGTTCGCTGGCCATGGGGACTATGTCAGAGCCAAGTCACTGGATAGTGTCTCTTCTCCTGATACGGGCAAGGACAGCACCGGCAGCTATAATGTCCCCTGGTTGCTGCTGGGGTCTGTCGATGGTCAAGGCATCAAGGTGAGCACAAGAGCACAACTCCTGCCCTATTCCACTATAATCTATCCAGTACTGACCTGTTTTCTTTACTCCAGGAGGTCTATCGTCTCGAAACCAGCGGAGGAGCAGCACCAACTACGTGTCAAGGGCAAGATGAACTGGTTGAAGTTGAATACGCTGCCGCCTATTTCTTCTTCGGCTGAAGTCGATTCCTCATCCACAGTTACGCTTCATGATTTTCATTTCTTACCATAATACCCGCTTGGCTGTCCTTCCATTATCTAGCGGCTTTATTAATTTTCCAGGACCTTGCTTTGGATGTATTTAGAGGACATGAATACATTTCAATCACTAGAAAGACAAGCTTGTAGCTAGTCAACTTCAAACAGACTGAAAATTTTCAGAGCATAATCTTGATATAAATTAACTATTTTCTTACCCCTCATATGCATTGTGACTCATCAGTCTTATTATCTCTACAATGCTGGAGCGGGACGTGTGTAATTATTGAATCATCCAGAACTCTCTTTTGACCGTGAGATAGAGAATATACTCTAGCAGCATTTCACTCACGATGGAGCCTCAGAAGCTGTACGTGACGTCCGCCAACGCAAGAACCTTCGTGCACTCAGTCCTCATCGCCAACGGGGTCTCCTCCGAGCACGCCACGATCGTCGCCGACAGTCTCGTTCTGGCCGACCTGCGCGGCGTCGACAGCCACGGCATTAACCGGCTCCCCTCGTACATGGCGCGGATCCGCCAAGGGGTTCTAGCAGCCACGGCAACCCCGACACTGACGCAAGTGACGCCCGTGGTCGCCCAGGTCGACGGACAGAACGGGTTCGGCTTCGTGGCGGCGCAGCGCGGGATGGCGCGCGCGATCGAGATGGCCGCGGAGTTTGGCATCGGCTTCGTCTCGGTGAAACACTCGAACCATTTCGGCATGTCGGCGTGGGTGGTGCAGCAGGCCCTCGACGCCGGGATGATGAGCCTGGTCTTCACCAACTCCTCGCCCGCTCTCCCGGTCTGGGGCGGGCGCGAGAAGCTGATGGGCGTGTCGCCCATCGCCTGTGGAGCGCCTGCGGGCGTCGAACGCCCCTTCATCCTCGACATGGCGCCCTCCGTGGCCGCGCGAGGCAAGATCTACAAGGCCGCTCGGAGGGGCCAGTCCATCCCGTCGGACTGGGCGCTGGACGCTGCAGGACATCCCACCACGGACCCGGAGCAGGCCCTACAGGGTGTGATGCTGCCCATGGGTGGTCCCAAGGGCTCCGCGCTGGCCGTCATGATGGACGTCTTCTCGGGCGTGCTGTCTGGGTCTGCGTTTGCAGGCCACGTCACGAACCCGTACGATCCCTCGCGTCCCGCGGACGTCGGCCATTTTCTCGTCGCCATCAAGCCCGACCTGTTCATGTCGCTGGAGGATTTCAAGGCCCGCATGGACTATCTCTACCGGCGTGTCGTCGGCTGTGACCGCATGCAGGACGTCGATCGGATCTATTTTCCTGGCGAGATCGAGCAGACAGTCCATGATGAGCGGCTGCGTACAGGGATCCCTTACGTCCAGGCGGAGATTGATGCCTTGAATGCCGAAGCGGAACGTGTTGGCGTCGACAAGATTATCGTTTCGGAATTGGGTAGATAGCTCGCTGTAATACTCTGCGTACTGCCTTTCAACTCTACATTGATACTGTGATATCAATGTGACTAAACGATTACACCAGTTGACACCTCAGCTACATGCTTAGATCTAAATCCATTGGTATACAATAAGACAAAAAAAGAGTCTCGGTGTATGCTCATGCATTGGTCCTTAGACTATCAACTAACTGTGATTGATCGGAATAGAGATCAAGAGTACGCAGCAATAGCGCTAGAAAAAGCCGCATCCACCTCGGTGAGGACAGAGGCGATGGTCTCAGCATCGGTGGTCGTGGCAATGGCCTCCAGATCCGCACCCAGGGTGTTGGTCTCGCTCTCAAGGGTCTCAAGGGAGGAAAGCAGGGTGCTTTGGATGCCGGCAGCTGCGGCATCGGATTCCTAGAAAAAGAAACCATGTCAATTCCTATTTACGCAAGCCGTTTCATTCATAGTCTCTCACCTTGGCAACGATGGCAGCCAGAGCGGCGAGGATGCTGGGACCCAGAGTCTCGACTTCGCTGGTGATGCTGCTGCTGTCGGAGGTACTCAGAGTCGAGGTGGCCTCGGTGTCGGTGATGGCCGTCTCCAGATCGCTCGAGAGATCATCATAGTAGGTCAGAAGGGTCAGCGCCCCCAGGGCATCACCATCCCAGTCTGCGAAGGCTGTTTCGACTGCTTCCACCTCGGTGAGGATGGTCTCCAGGTCCGACAGGACCGTGGCGGCGTCGCGCTTGGTGACTGGGGACGCGCTGGCCAGGGAGGCGGCGAGAAGAGCGGCGACGAGGGATTTCGCAAGCATTGTGTTCAGAACTGGTTCTTCAGAGGACTGATGGTTCAGGAGGACTGGGGGGCGATGGGGCTGATTGAGTGTCTAGCAAGAACGAAACCATCGTGCCTTTTATATTCCAGGCGACGAGCAAGTTGTACCTAGGCTGTCTCTCTCCTGCCCTCTCTCCTTCTCTTTCTTGCTTGTGACATTGCATTCTGCATTATAGTATCCTTGTTCTCGCCAGACGCCGAGTCTTCAATTCTGCAGAAGCAGCCAGTCGCGAAGTATCGTCCCGATTTCTCAATCACATGGGTAGTTCGTTTTAAAGCATATACTAGGTAGTACTGATGCCCTCTCAATCCCCCCTGTCGAATCCTTTTCAACCCCGCAACTAAGCAATTTTGAGTGCGGAGCTGAGGAACTGCCAGGCTCGGTACCTAGGAAATATAAGCACACATCCAGTTTATTGGCTCAAGTCATCTTAAACTGCATAACAGGGCTTGCTGTGATGCACTTACATGGCACGCAAATATATTGCATCCCCGATATCGCTTGCAGCGCCCGGAGTATTGCAATAAGATTATACGCTGGGCTTCAACTCAGATGCATGATCCCCTTTTACAGGGATATTCAAGGGTCGGACCGAGGCCAAAGTCTGCAAGACTTGTGGTGCTTGCTGGTGATTTGCTTTGTTTTGGTCTCGTTTCACGATGACAATTTCGTCCATTGCAGGGATTCGTGACCCCAGACTACATATTTCAGTATATTATACCTAGAAACAAAGCCAGTGGTTCGTGTCTTACCTCATGAGCACATTCGATTGCACCTTTGTAGACGAGACCACTAGCGACGGGTCTCATCGAGTAACTACCAAATACCAAGGCAGTCAAGGTTTGGGATGAGTTCTCCCATCGGATCAGACAAACTGGAAGCCCGAATATACTCATAGGAGGATTCTCAGCTTCTATATGGCGTGTTTTAAAAGGTGTACCCTCATTGAAGCGAGACGAGCCAGAGAAGAGCCAGTGTCGGGTCAACCCAGGAATGACAAGCCAGCTATTGTCATAAAGACTAAACCAAATTGAGGAATATCGCAGGGGAGTTCTATTTCCTTTATTGGGTTCCTATTTTGACGCTGGGGATTAGTATTGCTGCTCATTAGCTATGAATAATATATAGATGTGGAATGAATGAGTCCACCACATCTCTGGGCTAAAGAGGCGGTACGAAAGCCGAAGAAAGCATACCTTGAAGATTATGTCATCTCTATTGGCTGTATGAGGATGCAATTCATCCCCCCTGGCGCTTTCACCAGGGGTTGACAGTGGGAGATCCAGAGCAGCGGACGGGGAGACCAAAACAGGCAGCCAGTGCTATACGCTGACTAAGACTTCCTGGTGTCTGTCATCTGACCATGTCGGCTGCGAACCGACTTCTCCGTAGGCGAGGGGAGACGAACGTCATATTTCCTTTGGATGGAGAAGATGAGGGTCCAAAAACATCTCTCAGGAGATTAGGGATTTTGCCTGTACCATAACGATGGAGACGCTTCGCTCGTCCTTTCCAGGGGCTGGATCGACGACCGAGGGGCCAGCCGTGCAAGAAAGCCAGCGCGGACAGTTGCACTTGTTTACATTTGGATCACCGGTACGTCGCTCGATGCTTTGAAGAGCAAAGCTTCTGACTGGCTTCTTGAGATAGATGGGTAGGAAGTGTCAGATTGCCCTGGAAACGCTGCGGGAATTGTATGGAGACCGGGTCAATTGGACCTGGGAGCGAGTTCCTCTGCCAAAGAAGGTGCAGAAGTCGGACTGGTCTGGTTGTCTCGCACCTGAAGCTCTCGCTCTATACTCTCTAATATGATATACGGTTCTCAGGTACATGCAACTCAATCCGGATGGTCGGATCCCCCTGCTCGTTGATCAGGACTTGATTGACCCCTCGACGGGAAAACCGGCATACCTGCGTGAAAGCGGCGCGATTCTTCTGCATCTAGTCGAAAAGTTCGACATTAATCATCAGTAAGCCCTTTGGAGTTGAAAATAAAGGAAATTTGGGATGCTAAAGCTCCGGTGTTACGCCTACAGAGTGGATTTTGACACCAGCTTTGAGAGACAGGAGATGCTGGCCTGGATCATGTTTTGCAATTCAGCACTGGGGCCAGCTCAAGCTGTGAGTGAACTCCCGGTTTTTCATAAATGAAGCTAGGTCTCATGGAAATATCAGAAAGGGAACCATTTCTGCAACCTTAGAGCGTGAGTCGAGCCCGCAGCCTGCTTCGTCTTCTATTTCGCTGATATATACTTTGCTTTTGTGTCGCCACCATCAGCTCAGGACAAGACGTTCCCGTTGCAAGAGAACTCTTTGTGAGCGAGGTCCACCGACTATATCAAATCTTTGAGGATAGGCTGAGCGGTATACATATAGCCCCTTTTAAATTTCCGGCGTCACCCAGCATGCTGACGCCAACTTCAACAGGGAAAGAATCCGGGTCTGAAAGAGACTGGGTTGCAGGGAAGGGGCGAGGCAGGTTTTCTTTGGCTGAAATCGAATTGGTAGCGCATTTGGTCTCCTCTCTGTCCGGTTTTCATAGTCCATGGTCCCCCGTTTGCTGACACGCCAGGAACAGTTTCCCTGGATCTATATCCATGCAAAGTTCGGCATCATGACCACGGACGAGTTCAATGCACGTTACATCCATCTCACGCGATGGCTGGAGCGATGTTGGGCAAGAGACGCGGTCCGGCGTGGGGTCCAAGGGTACGATGCTTGGTAACTACAACCCAACCACATATTCAATCTCTCGATCATTGCGGTTGTAGATAGGGCTCCTTTCTATCGGGTGCGATATATTCGGTGGTTTTATCAACTGGATGATAGATTTGATAGAAAAATAGCTATCATATAGTATCATGTCATCACCTCGTATACCATGCTTTGCTTCAAGCCATACCCTTCTTGCTTGGGAGGTAACATAAGGTAGCCCCCAAGAATGGTCACTATAACCCACAATTCTTCTTCTAACATTACCAACATCTTTTCTCTTGAACCTTCAACTAAATCATCGTATATGAAAACCTACAACTGCGCTATCGGTGGTAATGAAGAGCCAGGCGAGATATTGAGGAATAGAAGAGACAGGAAGCATTTTCATGAATATATATCCCAGAGGATAAGGCAAGTACGATAGAAATAAGAGTATCCTGACTCCTTAATAGATGAGAAGCTATTTAAGGTGATATTTCATCTCATATACCGAAGACGTCCAAGACCATATCGCAACAGTGCCAATTAGTATCGAAGACAATCAGCTAATCTAATCCATTTCCAGAGCTTCAAACACCGCCCGCTCTATTATCTTCTTCGACCCCTTGACCACAGGGCCACTACCTGGTAGCAACTGGGTCGAGTAGAACACAGCAATACCTGTGGCAGGATCGATGTAGAACTGATATCGAGAGCAAGAGACAATCAGCTTGAAATGGTCCTGGCCAAAGATAGAGGAAGAGCAAAGTAGAAGAAGGAAACAGAGATGAAACCAGAAAGAAAAGGTGGAATTCACTTACGTCGGTCCCTGCAGCACCTCCCCATCCTGCAGATCCCGGGCGTCTGCCCCATCCGCCCTTTCTATCTTTCCCTGTAATCATTGGCAGACCACCGAGGTTACAGTTGACATTCTCGACCGTAAGGAAGCGGTCTCCTTCCTCCTTAGAAAGGTCGAAGTAGCCATTCAGCACACCTTCCATACCCGCAAGCTGAGACAGCTCCAAATCGGGTGAAAGGATGAGCCGATACTGCGTGGGAGAGAGAAGCGGAGTGAATCCCGTGGGAAGTGGGCGACTGTTTGTCTCGTGCAGGAAACCAGCGAGGATGTTCTGCAGTATAAGAGCCATGCCTGTAGCAGTGGAGTAAAGGCCAGCTCCGCCAGTAGGGTATTCAATATTCTTTCGTCTGCTCGATGCGTCAATAATCAGGGTAGAGAATCTTTTTTTCCGCCTTTTAGAGAAGAAACTTACCCTTTAGGTAGAAAATGGACAGCTTGCTGGCCGGTCCACTCCTCGAACTGAAGCTGCCCGTCGGCCGTCTTATTAGCCAGCCAACGCAGGGGCATGACTCGGCCTACAAGGTCTGGAGAATCATGAGGGTAGAACGAGGCCGACTGAATACCTAGAGGATGGAAGATGTTTTGCTGGAGATACTCCTCCAAATCCTGGTGGGCTACAGCGGGGAAAATATAAGACAGCCAGCTGTAGCCAAAGGGTTTCCAATCGGTCAGCACGAGCTTATCCAAGCCGAAGACGAAGTCCAAAAAATTCCATACTATTCTGTGGGGGGATGGGGGCTTACTCGTTGTTTGGCCCGTACCTCCACACTTCGCCTGGCTGTGTGCAAGGAGGGGTGTAAATGAGACTTTCCTGTTGAGAGTACACGGTCTGTCAGAAGATCATTTCCTCCACCTCTTAGCGGGTATACTAACCGCTTTACAGCTGTTGAGAAGCCCCCGGTCATTTCCAGGAATGGCTTTCCATTGATTGACTGCGGCGGTATGTTCGGCGTCAAATCCGCTTGTCCCATTCAACATTTGTCGGAGGGTGATGTTGCCTGTAGAGGGCTCAAAGATTGGCTGCCCATCATTGTCGAATCCACGAAGAACGCGCTTCGAGACCTCCTCCAGCTCGGGAGAAAACTTGCGCATAGGAGTGTCCAGCTCGATCAATCCGCGGTCCACCAGCTGGAGATATGCTGTTTTAACCCGAGACCAAACATTAGCCTGGTTCTATCATCCCAAAGGCGGGGTAACACCAACCGTACCGAGCGAAACTATGAAGCGAGTGGCACTGCTGAGCCAGATAATCGTGTTCTCATCCACGGGCGAGCTCGTCTCCCGGCTGAGGACATCCAAAGGCCCGCTCTGGTAGTTGAAGAGCACCTCCTCGGGCGAGGTAAGCACCAGAAAACACCCAGGGAACTTCGACGACAGCTTATCGACCGCGGCCTGGAGGTGTGCCACGCCTTTGCTCAACAAACGAGGCTCTGAAACTGTCTGGCTAACCATGGTTCTTGAGTCACAGAAAGCAGAATTCACTCTTCACTGACATATGAGTGTTGCTGGTATATATGGATGTTGCTGCTCGCGTAGCTCGGCTGGACTTAGCCGACTCCCCTTCCCAGACCAGTTAGCGTCATGGCCATTTTAGCAGACCTCCTACCTACCTAAAGGATTCAACACCTCGCGGGGCATTCTTTCTGAATCTCCTCGCGAGCTGGCTTTAAGATCGAGAGTTATCCTCACTTGTTGCCTTTCGTATCCTCTGACACCATGGCTTCTTCATTTACCCATATCAGTGAGTAGTAGCAATCGGAGTAGTTGTCTACCGACTGGGATACAAGCAAGTCATTGTTTCTGACGACATGCAGTTGCATTCAAGTACAAGCCCGAGGCCACGGCTGAGGCAATCCAGGAGTTTGAGGAGACTTTCCTCGGTCTCGAGACCAACTGTCGCAAACCAGACGGCACGCAGTATCTGGTTCGTACCATTTTCTGAGACAAAAAATAGCTACCGGGAGAGAATCTATCTACTAAGCTGTTGGGTTGAATACACAGACAGTTCGCGGAGGGAAGCAGATTTGCACCCATCCGCCTGCGCACGGCATGCAGTCCGTGTTTATCGTCGAATTTGCCAACAAGGAAGACGAGAAGTACTTCCACGATCATGATCAGGCGCACGCGGCGTTCATACCTAAAGCGCAAGGCATCAGCACGGATGCAGTGATCCTTGATTTCTGCCCGTTTCAGCAGTCGTGAGAGGGAGTTGAATTCCCTCGTGTGAAGCTCTCAGTGAAACTTCCCGTAGTCCGTCTAGAAATGGACATCTGAGAAAGACTCGCAGTCAATGCTAGTTGTTACTTTCGACAGAGCAGCCTGTTTCCTCGACAGGAATGTCAAGGGAAATGATACTACTACGATGATATAGATACCCGAGAAGCAGAGCCAGTATATAATATATACAAGTTAGCCAGGATCGTCACCCTAATAAAGCAGCGGTTATCATTTCCTGTTAATTCTTTACCCTTAATTCCCAGGGCAATAGCATCACCACACATAAGTCCATCTCTACCTCTGAACAGTAAAAGAGAATCAATAATAATAATGCTAATATAACCCTCTGATGGCGACTATCAATATCATCAACGTAACGTCACATGACCAGTAGCCAGCAGCCCAGCCTCGTGTGCCGTGTGCGTCGTGGCGCAGTGGCTGTGGATCTGGTTTGTGGTGCTTGTTGCTGCCACGTCAGGAGCGCTCAGCTGGGAGGGTGAAGCTGAACCCTGCCTTCGGGTCCTTGAAATGCAAAGACTAGCATCTGTCGCGTGAGTAGTTGCAGGAGATGCTGCAGGAGACAGAACCGAAATAGCACTCTTGAATTAGTGCTCAGGTACGGAATACAGTGCTTCTTGGCTGGTAACTAGATACTGATAGGAGGCAAGATGAGCAGTATCTTATGTCATCTGGCTCACGTGATTATGCTTGAAGAGGCAACGCGCCGGAATCAACGCGTTCGCAACACAAGGCTGGGAGGAGACCAGACCCTGACCTGACTGCGCTCGAGGTCCACGACGCCCTGCCTAATCGATTCATCCTCCTTTCGTATGATGCGTTTTGCCTGAAAGATTTACCTTCGTTCTGAAAAAAAAAAAATCTATTCCTTCTTCTTTTCATCTGATCCTCCCTCCGGAACCCTCCTTTCACCCGTTCGCACCTCTCTCTACCTTCGCTCTCATACCTCCCGAATACGCTACAATGACGGACTACAACAAGAAGACCAACGCGGAGCTTATCGAGATGCTCAAGTCGCGATCTCTGGCGCATAACGGACGCAAGGCCGAGCTGGTGGCACGCTTGCAAGCTGACGACGAGGCAAAGTCGGCCGCGCCCGGCGAAACGACTGCCACCAAGGCCGATGCCGCCGAGGACGTGATCGACTGGGAGGACGATGCGCCGACCGAAGCAGCCACGACGGTGAAACCGTCGACGGCCACCGGTGCGGCGGCCATCGCTGCGGGTGGCCAGGGCCCCGTCGCGAACCCGGCGGCGGTGCCGAACCAGAAGGTCGACACCGATCCTTCTACGACGGACGATCTTAAAGTGGAATCGCAGGGCGCTGTGGCTGGCGAGAAGCCTGCTGAGAGCGAGACGGCGACAGATGCCGCTGCCGCCGCCGATGTCGCAGAGAGCAAACCGGCCGTTGACTACACGCGGGGCCTCCCGTCGACCGAGCTCGAGGAGGAGCTGAAGAAGCGCAAGGCGCGTGCGGAGAAGTTTGGAATTGTCGAGGACACAGAGACCGCTCTGGCCGAGGCGGAGAAGGCTCTGCAACGAGCCAAACGATTCGGAACCGGAGCTGGAAGCGCAGAGGGCAGCACCAGTGGCCCCGTCGGAGTCAAAGGGTTGGACGAGGCTCTGCCAGATGAGCGGTCTCGCAAGCGTGGCCGTGGGGATCAGGAACCCAATGCTCGACGAGAAGGCAAGAAGCGTGACGTTGGCGGACGCAACCGCAACCGACGTCGCGGCACTGGGAATCCCCCCCAGAACCAGAGTCAGAGCCAGAATCAGAATCAGAACAAGAGCTCCGGTCAAGGCAGCGTTAGGCAGTGGAGTGAGAAGGATTCTCTTGCGCTCGAGGCGCGTAAGAAGAGATTCGCGACGACCGCGTAAATTCACCTGCTCCTTCCCCGACTTTCTTTCTGTCTCTCCTTCAAATCATTTTCCTATCTCTCTCTCTCTCTGTCTCTCTCTCTTCGGCGTTGCGGTGAGACTATCTATCTAGCAAGACGCGTTCCAGTACCAAATTTTTTCCCCCAATGACAGCAATCGACAAAATTGTACTTTGTATACCACGGCATGAAATCCTTGAGTAGGTTAGTTCCGAAGTAGCTAACTACATAGTATCCTGCGAGAAAAGCAGCTACTGCACTGCGCAATGCAGGTACGAGATTGTGTTATTATCACAGTACATACTACTCCGTACATACTACATACGGAATACTCCCGAGGATCTGCCCCTTTTAAATATCAATTTAGACATTCATCCGTGGGCCGGGAGGCCGTCGATTTCAATCCGGCCTGAGTATAATCACTAGCCTCCTGCAGACTTGATCTCACGAGCACGTACGACGGAGTATTACTCCGTGGGGGCGTCCATACTGCTCCGTACTCCGTTCTGCTCCGGAATTCGTACTCCAGACTCGCTCCGTACCGAACAGGGCGTGCCTCAGAAATAGAACATGGAACGGTAAGGGCGGAGTATCATTGGCGGCTCTGGGCCCGTGTCTTCAGTCTCTCGTCCTGCCAGCAGCTTTGGTTTACCGCCGGGATGCCCCCTATCACACCAACTCAAAGCTTGCACGAGGGGGCCACAGAGAGAGAGAGAGAGAAAAAAAAAAGCAAAGAAAAACGATCCAATCGCGGAACCCTGTTTACAGGCACGAGTATGGGCTCTAACTAGAGTCTGACTGTGAGCTGACGGTTTGTGTGTTGTGCGCCGCGATAGGCTCAGCTTGGGGATGCTAGTCGAGGTGCTAGACAAGGCCATCCCCACTGTATCGGCAGATTCAGATTAGATCCTTAAGCCTTCAGGTCTGTAGGGAGAACCTCGCTGACTATTAGTTGGCCTTTCCGTCTTCGTACTCGTACTAATGTAGGCGGATTCGGATCGGGGACTCTCAGCTCGAGGCAGACTGCGGCAGTCAGTGAGTAGTATACTCCGTAAGGATTGAGTGGTAATACTATATCGTACATAGTAACTTACAGTAAGTGCCTAACTAGTAGGTACTACCTACCTAGTAACTAGGTACAGAGTACCCCTTCGTACGTAAGAATCCCTCGGTATTCTTCTGTGACTGGCGGTTTGCAGAGCCAACCGCGGACGCGCCTCATCCAACATGCTCCGTTCCGTGGGTCAGCCAGTGGTTCAAGGCTCGACCCGAGCCTTGAGCCGTGTCGTAGTTGGTAAGGTGACTGTCCAGTCTGTAGGTGGACGTCATGGATCATCCAAAGGCTCACAGCACAACAACTTCCAAGGCAGCGTGGTGGTGGTGATGGTCACCTGAGCCCCCCGTGACCTGCCAATCGGTCTTCCCCGTCTCGAAATCCTCACCTCCAGGCTCCAAAGAGAGTCAGTCCAACAAACAGTCTTCACTCTTGTCTCATGGAGAACCGGCGACGAAAGGAAAAGAAAAAGCCCTCGCCCCACGCCACCCAACCGCGAATCGAACCTGTCAACAGCCTTGACACCTTCAAACCCTCCGCTTGCCTCTGGCGCACGATCCTGTCACTCCGCCAGCCTTGAGAAAAAGGAGACATTTGTCCAATCACAACCCCAGTCACCTCCTCCGAGCAGCGTCGATCGCGCATTTTAGCCCGGCTAGGGTCCACAGGCGACGGAAGTACACACGACAATTATTCCCTTTTCTATTTTTTCCTCGTTCTGGTCTTACAATTCTACATGGCCGTTGGACGGCGTTCTCCACGGCCACCACCCTTCAGGGGGGGGGGGGGAGGGCCCGGAGGGGTCTCGCTGAGTTGCTGAGTCGCTGCTGGCCGGCCTACGCCTTAAAAAGGTTCAGCCAGGCTCTGCGCTGAACTGATGACTTGTTCGACTGCGATTCACGCGTTTAAAAGGACACTAGAGTCGAACATTTGGAGTCTGCAGTTCTGCAGTGGTAAAAAAATTTTTTTCCTTGTCGACCCCAGCTGACCCTGTTCTCTCCGATGCTCTGACGTGGCCGTGCTGCCGATTTTAGCCACCGCAGACAGCGACTGTGGCGGAGTCGATGCGTCGTGATCGCCCGACCAAGACCAAACGGCTGGGACCGGTTGATAACCAGGAACTATTTCGATGGGGTTCTAGAGAGTAAAGTGATTTATGGTTGCCAGTCGCTCATTATTTTCCAAGATTCTCTGCGCCAGACTTTGGTGATTCTTCTGCCTGAGAAAGAAAGTCGAGGGTGATATCTATCACTCTGTCGATCGCCCCACACGCAAATCTACTGACTGAATAGGACCAGACCTCGAAGTTGTAAGTCGAGGTCGATTAAAACGCTCAATGTGCTCGAATTACAGCTGATCATTCAATTCTGCAGTCCCATGAGAACGTGATGATTCTCCCGAGGGCCCTACCTCCGTTGTTGAATAACTGGTTTTTGGGTTGGAGCCGAGGATCTCTCAGGTCACACCATGTGGTCGTACAGGTCTGACGGTGCTCGAATACCGAAGCCGAGGGACCCTGGCTTGCAGTCGCAAAATCTGTCGACGCCGACACCGTCGTCGATGGCCTCTCTTGCCCCTAGTCGGTTGGCAATCCTAGACAAGGCCTCGGTTGCACAATCCGCGAGGTCACAGCCGGCCAGGACCTCCAATCTGCCCTTACGGACCGGCAGGTCGGCCTCCTTTTCTGTCGCTGAAGAAACTCGCTCCATACCCGCAGCGTCCAGGTCGTCGCGTGCATTCTCCAGCAGCGATGCACGTCCGTCCCTGCTGCCCCGGGTCAGCAGTCAATCGACGATCCCCGTCTCCGCAGCACAGAATCGGCCTCCTGCAGCTCGGCCAGCGCCACTCAATCGAAGCATGCAGAATATACAAACACCGCCATTATCGAGTTCAACGGGTTCAGGTGTGCCGACCTGGAGGAGTAGCAATAGCAAACCAACGACACCCACCGAACGCCCGCGGAATGTGCTACGCCGGAAAGCACCCACCATCGGACAACAGGCGCATGAGACGGAGAAGCTTCGTCTAGAAATCCCGGATCCCATCCAACGACAGAACGGCACCCCGGATCCGGAGACACTCCCAAAGATGCCCTCAAGGCAGATGAAATCGAATATACCCACCGCCCCGGAGAGGATCATGAAGGAACCTGAACGTCCTGTGGTACAGGCTCCGAAGGAACTTGCCAGCCTGCGCACCACCGCTACCATCAATACTCAGAATCTTCCGCCCCCGACGCCCAACTTTCCGTCCGCAAGCAGCCCATCAACTAGGTATTCTGAGTCCCCGGGAATCTGGAGTAGAGGGTCCACTCCGACCTCCCTGTCATCCTACTCTCCGGGAATTGTTCATTCTGCCAAGGTCGGCTATCGATTTAGACAGGCTTCCGCCAGTCCTTCACAGACCAGGCTGCCGACCGCTTCTCCGTCCATCAAATCCGCAACCTTCAGGGCAACGCCGCCCATAAAACATGCAGAGCAGCCTCTATCCCCCCGCAGCACAGAGCCACAAGGAGGATTCGCAAAAGAGACGGATCCCATCAGGAAACCTATCGTTCCGCCTCCCAGTTTCCCACCACGACAGTCTTCTATCAAAAAGGCTTCGCTTGATAAGTCGAGGGTAAGTGCAGAAGGAGAGCAACGACAGACACACCAGGAAGCAGAGAAAGTAGCACGACAGGGACTTGATACGGCGCAGGTCGGAAACCTCAGCGAAAGCGGTTTCAAACCGACAGATTCTGCTAAATCCCCCCCTCCTGTACGACCTAGCCGACAAGGGACTCATCGTTTGGAGCTGCAGCCCTCGCCCGTGATTCAAAGCAATCTCGCATCACTTAAGGTAACAGGCCATAAGCGCCGAGAGTCGGCTGAGAGTGCCATTTTGGTTGATCGCCCGAATCCTACTCCCTTCAGCTCCGCTGCTGCTTCAGTGGATTCTATTCCGTCGAGGAACATTTCTCGCATTCCCGCAAGGGTCGCGCCACCGCCAGCGGCGATGCGGAAATCCCCACGGACACTGGTGAAAGAGCCCAGGGAGACACCGGAGACCAAACCAACCACCACGTCCAAGCGATTCGGTCTCTTCTCCAAGAAGTCCAAACCAGATCTCAATGACACCTCGGAGTCCAGCAAATCCGCTCGCAAGGGTCCGGCCGCAGGCACAGGTCATGAAGGATACGGCAGATATGGCCAACGTGGTAGGAGACCCAGCGGCGGCAATAATGGTGCCAGCAGTGGAGGTGGGAGGGAATCCAGCAGTGGGCCTCGAGCTCGGTCGAGCAGTACTACCCGGAGTGCACCTCAATCTGTGGCTAGTAGCAAAGGAAGTGTGCGCAGCCGACAGGACAATTTGGATATTGACGACTTTCTGTTGGATCGTCTGGAGCCTGTGGTCATCCACGGCGGAGGGTTGAGTGAGTCCTGCCTGCCACGGACGCAAAGCGAGCAGAGTATGAGCAACCTCAGTTTAGCATCGAGCTTTTCAGTGAAGGGGCCAACGTCGCAGCTCAAAAGAGATTATTCCACCGATTCACTCCTGACGTCGACCGATCCAGTGGGTGAGAAAGCGCAATCAAAGGGCTCCTTCCAGAGCGATATCACTCTATCGCCTGAACGGTCTCATGCTTCAAGAACCCCCGCCACTACATCGTCCAACCTTGCGTCAAGTCACGCTCCCACGCCCACAGCAGAGCCTGATAAAGCCTATCCGTTTCCAATAGATGCGGACCCTGCGAGATCACGACCCTCTCTCAGTAGCCATGGCTCCAGCAGCCATGGTTCGAACATCACTTCCTTGCCTCAGATAAAAGACGCTACAGTCACGTCTCCCCGTCAACATAGTCGACAAGACAGCTTACCACGTGCAACGTCGCCCAAGAAGTCAGCCAAAAAGGGGAAAGGGATGAGGTGGAATTTCTTCCATCGAAATCATGCAACTGAGGAGCGCAAGGACATGACAAATCGCCCCCCGCCCCTGCAGTCGACGTCTCATGTCCATGCGGGTATATCTCCTTCAGTATCTGATCGTCCTGTCGCACACTATGCCCTGATTGACGTCGAGTCCGATACTCTGGAAGACATCATGCAGCGAATCGAAGATTCTCCTCCAACAGACGAGGATGGAAAGGATTTACCGGTTGAGATCCCGACCGCACTGAAGCTGAAGAAACCCCACGGCCATTCTGTGTTGCTCCCATCGCCTCCCAAACTGCATGGCGAATTCTCCAGTGACGGACGGTCTTCGCCCAAAGTCTTCTTCAACCGACCAAACTACTCATCGTCCCGGTTAGACCAGAGCCCCGAGCAGCAGCAGCAGCAGCAACAACATGCCAGCCGGCTGGCATCGGTTGGTCGCATTCCACGTGTCGTCTCTCGACGGGATCGACAGCACAAGCCGGCGCTGCAGTCATTTTCTCGGCCGTTCAGCGTGGTCGAGGGGACCGCACCTCTGACAGCGAGCGCAACGCAGGCGCCAGCATCGCCTGGATTCTACTCTCCCGGAGGGCTCTCATTCAGCCCTCCGTCGTCGACTATCGGCAATGTACTCGATTTTATCGCGGGACCATACTCCAAGAACGAATTCCTCACATTTTCGCCTCGCAAGGACTCTGCCATGTCTTCCTCTAGTGGATCCGGGAGTTTAGCTGCTGTAACGGCCGTGGTTCCAGAGCCTGGGTCACCACCGACAGAAGATGAAGTTTGGAAAGAATACGACGACCTGATTGACCGCGTTCTTTCGCCCGAGGTCGTGGGGGGTACCAGTGGTGTTGATATGGGTAGGGATAATACAGATGAAAAGTTCGAACTTGCCACCATGGCTAGCAAGACGCTCCAGGCTGAGTTGAATGCAGGACCCAACGTCAGCAACAGCACCAGCACCAGCACCTTCAACAGCAACACCACAACCATATTCAGCAGCAACAATACATTGCCGTTTCCTGCTGAGCAGCAGCCAGCCGTTGTGCTGACTCCCGCTTCCGTCCGCTCGAGCGGCGGCCAGAGTTCTTTTCACCTGCGCCGGTCGCAAATCGTGTCTGCGCTCCACTCCTCGCTGGGGCTTTCGACTCAGCCTTCCTACACGTCTCTCATTGCTGGGTATGGAGATATCGAGACACCGGTAGAGACACCGCGGCTGTCTGCTGCCGATGCCTCTGCGACGTCTGCGATGTCGTCGGCATCCAACCTTCTCGATTTACCCTCGCTGGACCCTACACTAAGCTTCGAGACCTCCCGCCAACGCAACACCATCTTATTTGATCTTGCACACCGGGATCGAGATGGAACTATCGCCCAAACCAACATTCGGACCGGCTCACTGATGACAAGTCGCTGGTTGTCTTTTGGCCGCGTCCTCTTCAGCCCGGCACACAACCACGTCCAGTCTACTGACCGGGAGAGAATTTTGGTGATCGATGGGCTGGGAAATGACGACTGGTCCTTCTACTGCGCCTTGACATATCCCACTGCCGACGTCTACCTCCTGCAAGTAGGACCGGCTCCAGGTCTTTCTGGTCCTAGTTCTGCTGGTCCGTCATATTCAAATCCAGCGGCCTGGCCGCCCCCAGAAAACCACAACACCATTCAGCATCCCAGTCTAGAAAGCCCTTTTCCATTTGCCCGAGAATCCTTTGCTGTCGCCGTTCTCCGATTTCCCGCGGCATGTCCCGAAAGCGCTTACCAGAACGTCATCTACGAGTGCAAGCGGGTCCTTCGCACCGGAGGGTACCTAGAGATGAGTCTTCTGGACCTGGACTTGGTAAAAATGGGCATCCGCACGCGCAAGGCTGTCCGCTCCCTCAAGGAGAAGACGTACATGGCGGACGCACACATCAGCCTCAAGCCCGTGAGCGACAGCATCCAGCGCCTGCTGGGCCGGCATGGCTTTGACAACCTCCGCCGATGCATGGTGCGTATCCCTGCTGCTGGGGTTATCACTGGGTCCTCAGATTCGTCCTCGTCGAACCAATCCATCTCAGTCGCCACCGCGTCCGCAACCGCGACGGGAACTCCCTCCACGGGCCACTCACCGTTCGCCTCATCAGAGAGCCACACCAAATCATCATCGAAGGGGACGGAGCTCTCTCTCGGTGACTTGATCTGGGATCCACCGAGCCCGTCGAGCGACGAGTCGATCGCGCGAATGGTTGCCAAAGTCGCGCGCTGGTGGTACACGCGGTGCTACGAAATCCCCGTGCTGCGGGACGGGGACATCAACTCGAGCATCTGGGCAGACAAGAAGGTGCTGCGCGAGTGCCAAAAACAGGGCACCGGCTTTCGTTTCGTGATTGCCTACGCACAGAAGCCGAGTGAGCCCAGGCGGCGAACGGCTAGTGTGTAGTCTCTTTCCAACCCTCGCCGGCCGCCCTTATTAATATGTTTACCGATATTACGACACTCATGATTTTACGAATTATTATAATGTCATCATGACAAGCCTTATGTACACGTTGATTACACGATTACAAGATTCGACCTCGCGGTCAGCATTGCATCTAATGAGCATGGCGGTGACTTGATATTTTATTTATTTATTTTTTTTTCCAAGCAATCATAAGCCGGCTTATGATTACTCTTCTGTTCTTTTCTTGTTCTTTACTCTTACCGTTTAACTAATGAACAGTACTAATATGAGATTACCATAGTATAGAGATACCATCAGTCTAGCATGTCTATTCCAACGAGGATAGTAGTAAGATATAGTATTGACTAGTTAGTACACAACCATCAACTATAAGAGCATACTGCTAGAGATATCCCTCCTCGACATAATCATGGACCAACTCTGCGGTTTCATCGAGAACGCGGGGATCGTGAGAGAGGGTGTCAAGGTTGATATCGGTGAATCCGGTAGGAAGCCGGAGAGCGAGAAGACGATAAGCAGGAGAAGTATCTGTCTGAGAAAGGTGATGGAAGAGACAGACCCGAAGGATTTCAAGAGGGAGACCCGCCAGATTTAGCCAAGTAATGCGTAGTAGACAAGGCCGGTTCCTAGGGTCTGCTTGCAGTCTTGTCTTGATGACGGAGAGGGGGTATATCAGTGCTGTAATGAGAGCGAGAGTAAGGATGGGAAGAGATTTCTTCTTTCGAAAGTGCAAGATCATCCCCTCAAGGAGACAAATGGGATAACCCCTCCACAAGGCCTTGATTCCATCGTTTCCCCGCAGGAGATCCCGCAGAACATCCCCAACTGGTTTCTTCCAGCAGATCTGTCTCGTCACGATCGTGGAGAACGGGCTCGTCAAGGCTTTCGTGATACCTTCCGCGAGGATGATGCTCACACCCTCACTCACACCCTCCTTTCGGAGATATGTATAGATCGTCTGGAAGAGGATTCTGTCCGCAACGCTTCTCAACGTATCAACCGCCGCCCCGGTATATAGCTCTGACAGGTCTGCGCGGGGTTCATCCTGGTAGACACTGCTTTGCTCGATTTGTGCTCTCGTCGCAAGAAGGCGGAGGGGGTACGTTGCTAGATTTGCGGTGACGCATTTCTGTGCCTTGGTTTAACAATGATCATATATATCTCTATCAGAACTGCCTGACTTACCTCCATGTTATCAAGTCATTTTGATTTAGTGTAGGTGGTGCACTCGGTGCAGCTGCAGCTGCACTCGCACCACTTCACTACTGTAGACGTCATGTGGTCTGTGCGTAGGTAGGTCCAGTCCAGTCTACAGTAGTTACAGTCTACAGTAGTCTATATTCAGTTAAGTTTAAATGTATTGTTCAACCAGAACGGTGAATCATTTTTTAACTATTCAGCCTAACACCATCCGTCCCAACCATGAAGCATAACGATCCAGCGTAGAAGATAAAAAAAAACCCCTCAAAAGAAAAAAAGCCAAGCCTAATATCCTGTCCAAGCTTGTATGTAGACCAGTTCGATGAGGAGAAGAAAACATGAATCTAACCACCGAAACCGTAGAGGGTACGGCCCTGGCGCTTAAGGGCATACACGACGTCGAGGGAGGTGACGGTCTTGCGCTTGGCGTGTTCGGTGTAGGTGACCGCGTCGCGGATGACGCTCTCCAGGAAGGACTTGAGCACACCGCGGGTCTCCTCGTAGATCATGGCCGAGATACGCTTGACACCGCCACGGCGCGCCAGACGCCGGATGGCAGGCTTGGTGATGCCCTGGATGTTGTCGCGGAGGATCTTGCGGTGACGTTTGGCTCCGCCTTTGCCGAGACCCTTGCCTCCTTTGCCGCCTGTAACAATTAGTATATTTAAAACAAAACCATATACGTTAAAAGAGGGAGAGAAAGAAAACAGAGGGGTATGCTTGGTTGGAGGTGGGCCAGGGGTATCACCACCACCACCACCACCACCGCACGACGAGCACCAAAATCAACACGACAAAGACAAGATCAATACTTACGTCCAGTCATATTGTCAAGATAGATAGACGAAAGAAGTGAAAAAAGATGAGATGAGATGAACCCGACTCGATGAGCGATGGATGAAGAATAGATGGGATGGACGTGACGCGTCGGATTGGCGGAGGGGGGGAGAAGGAGGAGATGGAGCGACCTGACGCGGGCGGGAGGCGACGCCTTAAATAGGCGTGGCAAGCGAATCCCTTAGCCCTGGAAAAAAGGTGATATGGCGGTACAATGACTAAGCGAGGGGGGGGGGGGAAGGGAAGGCAGTTGATCAGACGGGATCAGTAAAGTGGATGAGAGGGTCTGATTGGCGGGCCGCGCGTGGGAAAATGGGCGTTATGAAGGGCCGCTTTGCAAGTCCGTGTTGGGGGGGTCCTGCTGTGGCGGGCGTATCGCTCGGGCGGAGGCGACCCAAAATGTCATGTGACATAACCTGATAACGATAACAGAACCACTGTTTACTTACTCTATACTAAGAATACTTCTTTACTACTTTTAAAATATGAGTTACTAGTTTAACTAAAGTGATAGATACTAGTTAAAACTTCCATGTTAGATACTAAATAAAATTGAATTCAATGCACCTCCTATTACTGATCTACTATAAGTTTGCAGACCAAAATTCAACGCCCCAGCACCATGCACAAAAATCACAGATTAAGACCACAATAAAGTCATTAAAACAACAGCCATGGAAGTAAAGAGGAGGGAGAGAGCCACACAATGCTGAAATTACAGACTTTTCCGTTCAAAAGGGACTCCGCGACTCGAGTCGCTGACTCGCGGGTCGAATACTCCATGAATGACAGAAAGAACAGGGGAGAAAGAAAGAAAAGAAAAGGAGAAAAGAAAATCGTCGAATCGTGATGCATTGACAAGAGTCATGCACGTTTCGTAAATCCAAGTGAAGGGACATCAACACATGGTAAGAATAAAAAAAAATAGAAGGGGACCATCCTAACGGGTTCAACGGCTGACTCGGTCACAGCGAGATGTAACGCTCTCGCGGTTTATTACACATCGCAAAGACGTTGCATAAGCTGTGGCTGACCAGGTTCATCGATAGGTGGTATTGCTTTGTGAATGATGTCTTCCTCATTGAGGGAAAAAAAAAAAGAAAAGAAAGGAGAAAGGAAAAGATCAGCCTCGAATAGCGGCTGGTGCGGCGTGCAAGGGCTGGTGATATGGATAGCCATGCGCCACGCGCGATGGGGACGTTGAGGAAGAACGAGCCCCCGCGCTGACAGATCGATGTGTCTGTGGAGATGGGGAGCGCGAAGGGCTATCAGCGGACGAAGACGGAGTTGTGATAGAGTCGTCGGTCGCCTTGCTCTTGGTATCCTGTCGGGAAGATCCATACTGAAGCAAAATTATTAGAATTGATCATATATCATAAAACCCCCCCCCGGGGGGGGGGATCTGTCACCAGACTTACAAAACAATACTTGTCCACCAACTCCTTGTAGGTGGAAGACTCGTGCTGCGGTTTGCCCGAGACGAGGGTATGCGGCCGAGAAGACTCCGGGGAACTGGTCTGTCGGGTGATGTCGGCGGTGGGCAAGGGTTTGTCAATCACCAATCGATCTGTCTGTTTCTTCTCGGCAGCGGGGCTGTTCAATTGCGATGGAGCAGGTTTGCTCGACTTGGCTCTCGCCGTCAAGGTAGTCCGATCCGATGTGGTTTTGGTCTGCATGGCAGCCGTCAGGGAGGCGCCAAAATCGTATCGATTCCCAAAGGCCGGACGACTCGGATTCTCACGGGGTTTCGGAACATGGTGATCATCATCATCATCCGCGTCAACATCGTCATGATCATCATTGTTGTTCTGGTAGTCCACAGGGACTACATGTCGTTGCGCCAGGGGAATTGGTGGTCTTTTGGAGGTTCGATTCGAGGGCCGGCCAAAAGTGAGACAGTCATCCAGTGAATCGAGCGGGGAAAACCCATCAAACGACGGCTCAGCCTTCTTCTTGGACTCACGCGGGAGGGTGACGATTCCCAATGAGGTCTTGCTGCGTGGCAGGGGCCGGTTGCCGTGGTGATTTTTCCTTAAACCTAATGAAGAGGAAGAGGTAGGCAAGGGAGCGACCGCCATGTTGGGTTTGACCTTGGGGACGCGGCAAAAGTCGACCTGGTAGTTCATCGAGTTGTTGTTGTCCCAGAACTCCTGACCATCGACCTGATAGCGGATGCAGAGGAAGAGGGTCTTCTCTTCCAGGTTGGTCTGGTCGGCCAGCTTGATGTTGAAGGAGAAACGGTCATAGCCATCATGGGCCTGTTTGCGGCGTACGTCATGGCTGAACTCGGCCGTGACCTCGGAAACGGTCTTCCAGAAGTCAAAGGTGAAGCGGGAGACGACGTGCTTGTGGAAGGAGAGGTTGGCGACGGCGATGACGCCGACAAGGGTGTTCTTGTCTGACGAGAGGAACAGGCGCTCGAGTCGAACGGGCTGATGGGCCCGCGCGGCGAGATCGTGGGGCCAGTTGGCAAGGCGCAGGTCCCACTCGAACTGAGGCTCGTCCTTTTCAAAGGGAAACTCACACTCCGGGGCGTAGTCCTCGACGGGGGAGGTTTCGGCGCTAACGGCGAGGGGCTTGTCGAGCTGCATGAAATGGCGGATGTGTTCAAGATGCGAGTCAAAATGCACGGCTTTGGCGTACGTCGGGGTGCCCGGCATGCTAGACGGGCGACGACGCGCCGAGGGCGGACGCAGGGCGGGTCGGACCAATTCTCCTGATTTCTTGCGGACCATGGCTGGCTTGGGCTCATCATCGCGATCCGTCTCCTCCGGAGAGCTGACGGCTATCTCGTCGGCCGATTTCATGATCGAGCCCTCGGTGGAGGAGCGGGAATGAGAGATTTTTCGAGCTTCTTTGGAGAGGGGAGGAGTATGAGGCGAAGAGAATGTCGTATGTCGTGATTGTAATTCTTGTAGTGGTGGTGGTGGTGGTGGTGGCGATGTAGGAGGCAAGAACCCGGATGACGAAGCATCATCGCCCGAGGGCGCTCGTTCTGGCGAGGACTCATGTCTCTGCTCAATGGAACGCACAGCGGCCTGTAACTCAGCCAGCTTGATCCCGTTGCGTCTGTCGTCGTCTTCGGCACCGACGCCCGCACCTGCACTCGAGGGCGACTCCTCATCGCTGGAGCCATTACAAGACTCCGGCGGGGAAATCACTGTACCCGGGGGGATGGCGGCATTGCTCCGTGGTGGGGGAGATTGACGAAGACTGGCATAGGGGTCTAGATCCCGACCCCGACGAGCGATGGCCTGGTCTTCCTTGGCCGGGGGAGGTTTGGGGGCCGAGGGACTCCTACGGTGTTTCCGTACATAGGCGGTAGAATAGTAGGAGCGGGGCAGGTGTTGCTGACGACCGACAGAGGGATTGTAATCTGGAGAGGTATTTTTGTGGCTGTTGTTGTTGTTGTTATTGTTGTTATTATTATGATCGTGGTGTTGGTGATGGTGAGAGCTGGACTGCGTCTCGAGCTGCGCGGTAAGCGACGGCGCAGTGTATGGCATCCGGCCGACCTTGCGATTGGACACGCAAGAAGCGGACAGAAGATGCAATTATGCAGGAAGAATGGATCCAACGATAATAACCCACTCAAGGGAGAACGGCCGGGGGGAGGTTTATAACACGTGCAAGTCTAAGGATAGCAAGAGGGCCTGTCGCTTTGGTCTGTCAATGACCACTTCAGTCAGCATAGTACCGAGTCAGGGGTAGGTAGGTAGCACATGCAGACCATCCGGGCGGTTAGACATCAACAGCATGATCGAATAATTCTGAGTC